ATGAATTGACTTCATTACTCTGTTCACCTCCCACCGATAGCTGATGTGTGGTGAGCGTTCTGGCACACTATGGCTGCCGTTGCATCATCCAGGTGGATGCTGCACATTGGTAGTGGTGGAGGGGAGTCCCCATTACCTGTAAAGAGCTTTGAGTGCAGTGTCCGGAAAAGCACTATATAAGTGTAAGCAATTATAATTAATTATAATATTGCTCTTGACTTCGAGATGGTTTTGCCAACAAATACTACTTACTCGTTAACTCTGCATGCAGGTCATGTTGGAACATTTCTGCGGCGAAATGTCTGCTGCACAAAAATCTCATTATACAGTACTAGTTCTTACGCAGACTAGAGAGCAGGAAGGGCCGCCTCACGTCTCAATTCATGGGAAAACTTGCTCTTGCCTGTGGTGAGACTAGCGGTTTGCAACTAAATGGCAACTAATAGTTCACGATTTTGTGCCCAATTCAAAATTTGTCCATTTTTTTCTATACCGTCAAATAATTTATTTTGTTACAGAGAGTTAATAACCAGCCTCAGAAACTGAAACTGAAACAGAGAGCTCTATTTCCCTTTAAGGGTGCAATTGCAACCAAAACCACATTTGAGAACCACTGTTCTAAACCTTTGTTTTTTGAGCTGAAATCAACAATATCAAAATCTGAACCTAAACCTGATTTAACACTTTGAATTTTAGGTAAAGGGCCATTCATATCAGACATCAAACACTGCAGCTTGGACAAATATTTGGAAAACCACAACCAAACACAAACAAATGATGTTGCCTTGGTGAATCCAGTTCTCAAACATATGGTCTAATGTATAAACTACCAGCTTGCAGCTTGAGAGGCAGAGAAGTGACCCCTGTGCCAATTTTAGCACAGCCTGGCCACAACCAGTCAGTCCTTTAATTCATCCATCATGCTGCAGCTACACATGCTCTTATACAGGTTGTTAGCTGCAAGCGTACCATCTGAACAGGCTTAGCGGGCCAATGACCTATTTTAATGTCTAATCAGAATATCAGGCCTAAGAGAAGGAAAAATCTAAACAAGATCATTTAAAGTACTGCAGCACAGTAACTGACTTTAAAAATCTTGCAGCACATTGAGAGGAGACAGCAGGAATGAATGTCCCTGTAATACAGTGCTAAGCATTGTAACCGTGCTTGTGCTCTGTTGGGTGGCACAGTGATGCAGTGGTTAGCGCTCCTGTCGTGCAGGGCCCCTGGGTTCAATTTCAGACCTGGGATGTAACCGGTGTGAAGTTTGTATGTTCTCCCTGTGTTCTCTGGGTTTTCTCTGGTGGCTCTGGTGCCCTCCCTTGTGTATTTGTGTTTGTGTCATTGCCTGTGTGTGCCCTGCAACACACAAGGATCCCATCCATTGCTTGCGCCCATTGCTTACCAGAGTAGGTTCCAGCTACCCTGTGACCCTGAATTGGATGATGTGGTTAGAAAATGGTTGGATATTCCTCTGATTAAGGAAATTGAAATCTTCACTTTTCCCTGTACTACTTTAAATATTTTTACTTTCTAAAAAAAGCCTAATTCATTCAACGGATACTAAAGACATTTTTAAGGTTCACAGCTTTAAATGGGCTTTTAAAAACGAGGGGTAGCAGTTCAAGTCTACATGACACCTGAGTAATGCTAGCATGGAGATGTTGCAGAATTTTTTTGGGAGCTGTCACTGTACACAGAGTGCATGCATCAGTGTCCACTGGTTCTGCAGTACCGCAATATGCTTCTTTGCACTTTTAGAGATTTTTACCTTTACCATCCAGGAGGTCTTACCTACATTCTCATAAGGACATATATTTAGGGTCAAGCATTTTATGCTAAGGGCTGTTGTCAATTTAGCAAAGGCAAACCACTTATCCAGCACAATATACTATACCCTTCCAAGCACAAATATACTTAGTAACGTAACCTAGCACACAGAAAACAATACAGTGTGCACTACATATACAGTTTACAGTATAAAACACATCAAGAAACAGAAACTCTTGTCATTTCCATCACAATTGAGAGTTTTAGTATTACTTCAGCATTACCACCCCGTTGAATGCTGTTATCAGAACTGCGAAAGCATTCAGCCAAAGTCACGATGATTAAAGCATGGCACTACTCAGTACAAATATATTTCACCTATTAACATGTTTACTGACAAACATGATATGATACTGTTCTCACACAGCAAGTTCATATATTATGAATGTCCACTCCTTTTAGTCTTTAGTTAATTGAAGAACTCAACAGCACTTCACCTTGAAATGCACTCCTGTCTTTAACACAACCACCCAAGCTGTTCACTGATCAATGTTGTAGCCTTGCACTGCCAGGCATACTGATAACCTCAATGTGTACAGGAGTATTTGCATGTGGGTAGGTCTCTCTGTATTGCCTTTTAGAGGTTAGCCAAACTGACCTCTCGTCATGTATACTTTCCCAATTTGCTTCATGACATTGCTATATTTAATATAATGTAAACTCACACACAGTGTCAATTTTCCATGCCTTCAAGAGTATGAGCACAGTTTCTAATTCTGTTTTTGTCACAGAGCATGCTAAAACACTGTAGCTTTCTCTTATTGTATACTGTGTTTAGAACAATCTTTGTTACGTTTTACAGAAGACAAGATCTCCAGATTTAACTCTGCCCACCTATACAAACCTACTCAATTTTGTTTAGGTTTCATTTGTTTTTGGTTGAAGATCCTCGCAACTAAAGACCCACAACTAACAACGTATAAAATAATGAAGTGATCAAGATTCCCGTTTTAGCACTCCTCGATCATGCTTAGGTAAAAAGCACTCTTGTTGCATTTAAAAGTCTATTTATGGTGTCATTCCCTCTGAGACGATTCAGACTCTCTCACCACAAAATAAGTGTATCTTGAGTTTATCAAATATTTGGTTTGCTAATGAAAATAATCCCAGCACAGGGCAAAATTAAATTCTACATTTATATAGGTTTCCTCAGAACTAGCAATACCAGTAACAGAGATCAGTCAATTCTCTTCACCTGTCAAGTACACCACAAAAAATGCACTGCAGTTGCCAATTACTGTAGCAGGGCTGTGAAAGAAAAGCATAAAGTCTCATTTGCTCGACATACCAAAGGAAAGAGTAAATATAAATCCACAGTTCCTAACAATTCTAAACCACACTGCTTTTAGTTTGTGTGAGTCTGACAGTTTTTTTTCCAAACTGGGTTCATAAGGAAGCTGCACTGCAAACCTGAAAAACCATCTACCTGGATGTACAGGAAATTCAGGGGGGAAAAAAAACAGCAGCAAACTGCCGAACAAGCAACATTTGTATTCCGAGATAAAAACCACAAAAAATAGAATGTGCTCACACCTAAAAAACGGATGTGAAGGTCTGTAAAGAACATCAAGAAAAGCTTTCGAAAAACAATAACTAAACCAATATTGGGTCAATAAAGAAATCCAAAAGAACTCTTTAAAAGTAATTATTGTACCTCAGGTCTCAACCTTGAGGATTGTTCAGTAAACTAAAAAAGAACTATGTTTAAGAAGTACAGCCGCAAAAAGAATTTCCAAGAATACTTTATTTTTCCATTTTGCAGAGTATTTCACTTGTTCCACATCATATAGTTCAACACATATTCCATTTTTGGTCACTCGTCATTCCTGCTTCTGAAACATTTTTCTAAGATTAACTACTTATTTGCAGGTACACAAAACAGCACTTTTGACAACAGCTGTGTAAAATCCATGCTAAGGCAATCTAAATTAGCAACCAACTGGCTTTTTTCTTTTCTTTCAACTTCAAAAAGTATTTGCTGTAGCAAATTCCTTCTTTGAAATACCAAGTAAAAATGGAATATACTGTACAGTATATATTGGGAACCATTACATTATGAAACATAGGTACTGTATTCAAGATCAATACAAACTAGCATGGCAGTGCAGTTAATTTAAACAAAGGCTCAATACTGTTGCTTGCTGAGGGAGCTATTAACCATGGGAGGAAATTGTATCCAAATATTTATCCATTTTTATCAATGGATCTTCAAAATAAATTTGTAAACAGGTGTAGGTAACAAATAAAATAAGCTGAACAGTGTACTTGCCTTATTTTACTTCAGTCCAAATCACAGAATTTCTAGTCATCTTACACAATTCAATATTTCTGACTGCCAAAGAACCAGGGGCAGAGGGTTGCAAGGTTAGACTTGGGAGCACTTTCAGATGTATGTTAGAAAGCTTCTGTGTCACATTTCACTTGGGACAAAACTGCCTCACTGTCACAAGCAGTAAAAGCAGTAAATTATTATGGAAGCAAAGGCTCCTATCATATTATCTCTTAAAAGTTAGTTGGACAACTTATTTGTGGACATGTGTATAATCAGTCACAATATTTGTTTACACTGCCATTAAAAATTCAGCCATGGAATAACAAGAAGATACAGTAGCAATGCTGCAGTCCTCCAGACTGAAATGATCAGACAATGCATAGCTTAAAATTGTTCAACCTACGCTTCTTTGATATGCTGTTCCATATCTTGTGACAAATACTAAATTAAGCCAAATATTAACAATTTAATCCAGAAATACCTGACTCGTGTTTCAAACCTTCAGACAAAAAAGCAGCGAAGTATATGATATAATAACGCAAGCCTATAGAGTATATACAGGATATACATTTACATCTGAGGTTTTCTTACACAGATCACTAAACTTGTTAACTGGGCATATTCCGAAGTTATGAAGTAAAACAATTAAGGAAGAAAATGCTTAAATTTGCTACAATGAACAACAGTCCTGGATATTGCTTTTTATATTTTACACTGATTAACAGAAAAAAAATAATGTCTGTTAACAGAATATTGTACACCAAACTATTCGTGCAATGCCGTGTACACTGTAGCTAGGCCAACCAACGCCGCATGATGTATACATTTAGATCATTAAAAAAACAAGGTATTTTAAAACAAAAACAAAGCAGAAAAAACTGACCAAGGTCAAACTTACGTTTCTCCTTTCATTTGGAAAAAATTACAGTCTTTTCACTCAGCATTTTTCTCTTATCGACTGTCGAGCTCCACAACCTCAAAAAGCATGGGCAAAAATCTATCCCAGCCATATCAACAAAAACGGTTCGTCATCATAATCTCATTTTATTGTTATTATCTCTTCTACTACGATTGTTCTCTTGATTATATTTCGATTAATTAAGAGCGTTTGCGAACTCTATTTCTGTACATACTGTGTAAAACGTGTATTTTTTAAGAGATGCGCTTCTTGGCTGATGCTGGTTTGTGGCTGCAGGGAAAGGCGCTTCTTCTGCCTATACTATATCAAATTACAGCAAATTCTTAAAGGTATATGAACGTTTTTATATACCTAATTTGTCGAAATAACAACCTTTCACTTGCTTGACGAAGCAGCTCTCACCGCTCGAAATCTTTTCTTGTATTTCTTATATATCGAACTAGCATTTCTAATGAAAAAATAAGGTTAATGCACCTACAGTACGTAATGTAGCTTTATACGGCAAATTCAGTTTTCCTTTCTTTAAAAGCGGAACTAACTTTGTAGTAACGAGAATCTTCTTTTATTTCTGAACGAACAAGACGGAAAATACGACCTACTGTAACTACTGATAAGAACGAGCAATTTGGCGGGTAATCCTGCGTTTTGCACAGCTTCTAGATGTGTGCAGGACATACGGAAGAATGTTAAGATGTCGGTAGCATATGATAAAATTTTATGGACATATAGGACTTTTACACATCTTGTACACCAAGTGTAGTGTGCTCTTACCAAAGGAACCAATTTATAAATATATGTAAGATTGAGATAGTATTCATGTGATGTGTTTTACACCTTATGTTACGTTATTTGATATTGTATATTAGCAGCAAAATAAGACCTCGTCTAGTGGAATAAAATACAGTTTCATAATAAACTATTATTCTTTTTTTCCCTAATTATTGCAGACGACAAGTCTGCCCAGACTTCTTTTCGTATCACTAAGCATGACTCTAGTTGAAGTTTTTCGTGGCCACAGTATTGTGTATATTAATACTTTAAAATCAAATTAAGCTTTCTGTATAATTAAAACATACATCTGTATCTTTTTCCTGTTATGCAGCCATAAAAAAGTTTTCTATGAATGCTTGTTTTCAGCTGCCTTCATCCAGTTTGATCCAGCAAGCATATTGATTTTTAATCTTGCAGGATGTGTTTCTGATGAGTTGTTTGTTGCTGTATTCATTCCTGTATTTTTTTTTGCTTTATGTTAATTTTATTCTTCTGCCAACTACTAATATTTAAATTTATTCACTTTTTTGATGCTGCTGGCACTTATTTAGGAGACATAGGTTTCTCTGGCTTATTATGTTGTCGGCAACATTCTTTTTTTTTCATTTTATAGTTGTCTGGGGCTTCAGTATTGATCTTGAATTTAGTGTCCATGTTTTACCTCCATATACCTGTATATACAGTAGTATATATTGAGAAAAGCAACACACATGTAGAGAATATAAAATAGATGTTATATATAGTATACATAGTATATATATATACCTCTATAAATAGTAATGAATTTGACCAAATCTTTCAAAATGTCAGGTGTTTAACCCTGATTTGTGTGTCAGCTGGCCTCACAGTATTGTATCTAAAAATTAAGAAAAGGAATTTGACATAGACAATTGCTTTTTAACATGGAAAGCTATAAGACAATGAAGCAAACAATGGAAACCTCTGACAGCACAAAAGGCATTTAAACCCATTTGCTTCTGAAATGATGCACAACCTCTGAAGCTAATGCCAAATAACGTGTTGTATATCACAAACTGAAGTTTAGTTAGCTGACTTCATACTTCATCAATTACGAATGACAGGAATAATAACAGTAAAGTAAAAGAGAGTTGAAAAATCATTAGACTGTTTTCACCTCTGAGCAACTGTAGGCTGTGTATCTGTTTGGCATTTAGAAATTCAATGTTTTCTGAAAGAAAAATCTTAATATTTGATTTAGGAATATTAAGAAAGATTTAATTAACCCCACTTAGGTAGAACTCCACTTAATGTTGTTATTGTCTTTATTACAGCAACCAATTTAGATGATAAAACTATCTTGAAAACCTAACAAATAAACACTGTACATAATAGTAAGAGTGATTAAGCAGAGGCTATCTGTAATGCAAAATCTGTAGTGTAATCCTGTACTAAACAGGCTGTGAAGTTTGGTCTGAAAGGGATGCCGTAGCAGTAATATATACGTAACGGGTTGAGCAGTTATGGATATAATTTGGGGAATTGTATTTGGAGTTTGTTTTATGACCATATTTTTAATTTTAAGATTGCTGATTGTAGTTTGGAGCGGAGTAAAATGCAAACCAGGAAAGAAAGGTTCTGTCTCCGTGCTCATTGTGGCAGGATCAGGTATGATTGTTACAATACTTCCGCATTGGCAAGTACTGTAGTACTACTGGCAACATATGTGCAAAGTCTGCAGTGGTGATATTGCTGTTCCACAGTTAATTGCAATGAATGAGAATAATAAAAGAAGACGTAGCAGATGAACATGTCAATTTGTGTTTATTTTTTCCGTGTTTACGCAGACCTGTTTGTAAATTTGTGTGTAAATCTGTCACTGTGACCTTTTAATCTCTTCATAGTTCTCTTCGTAACAGTAACTCTAAAAAGGTCTTATCGCAGCGTTATGATTTCTTCTGTATTTCGTTGTGTTCTTTGTGTTTTAAACTAATAACATCTCAAACCAATACCTTTTAAGGGAGTGTACTCTTAAATTACATCGTGTCCTGTGAAGTATAGGTTTACTCTGAAACAGTTGGAAATAAAGTTTAACAATTTCGGTAAAACAGACTATTTCGAAGGAATGAGACAGCAGAGAAATAGACTAGAACGGGATACTTTACATATCGATTCAGTGGAAAATGGATGGCTTTCTACTTTAGACAAAACAGACCTCACGAGTAAGTAAGGAAAACAGTGGTCCAAATGGTTAAAGTAATTAGGAATATAAAAAAGAAAAAAAATCACTTTATAAAGCTTTCAAAAAAGATAAAGATGATGAGTGACGTGAACTGGAAAAATGATACGGCAAGAAAAAAGGCAAAAACAGAAAGTTTGAAAGGAATATTGCAATGATGTCTAGAATAAGCACAATTATCAGTAAAGGATGACATCAAGTGTTTTAGAGATGAATATTGATGTCTTCTATATAATGACAGCGAAATTGGTGATGTATGACGTTAATATTTCACTTGGGTGTTTACCAAGAAAAAACGTCAGACATGCTTAATGCTGAGAAAAGGTTAATAATAGCTCAGAACAAGGTGAAGTGTTACAAGTACAAGAAGCACTAAAGTTAAACAAATCTGGCAACGGGATGTTATTTATATGCCATTAACAAAATCCTTCCAGCTTTTTTTTTAAGACAGGGAGAGGAAATACCCACTGACTGTAAAATCATTATTGTAGTGCCCATCCATAAAACAGGTAACACAGCAAAGCTAGGTAACTATACACCGATTGAATGAGTATATATTGGATAACAGCTGTGAAAGGAGGCACATTAAAAAGTTCTGCCATTCTTAACCTTGCTGAAAGCACATATTGAGTATATGTTCTTTCAATTTTATTTGATGAAGTACAGTACTGGGGAAATAACACCTAAAGAATTTTTGTTTTACTTCTCCAAAACAATGAAAATTTGTCAAAAGTTGTACATGAAAAACACCCTTGCATTTCCTTGATAGAACTTTAATGTAAGTAGTGGGACAGGACAATAAGAAACGTTTTGTGAATAAGGTGGCACTATGATAGCATATATTGTCCCAAGAAAGTGTCAAATGTATTGTTTGAAATGTCATTAGCTTCTGTTCATTATTAATCAATAATCAATTCATTATTAGTGAATTTCAAGCAACAGTATTTCATAGGAGTCATGTATGATACATTAGTACAGAGTCACAACACTCCAGAAAATGTATAAGCTTAACTCCTGATATATAAGTGCTCCATATTGAAGATTTAAGTTACAGCAAGATGTTAATAAGTGAAAAACAGCATGTTAATAGCATTCAGTTGGTTTTTAAAGACTAAATGGATTGCAACTGTTACAGGAGGACACACAACAGAAATGCTCAGGTTGTTGGAGAGTCTGTCCCAGGCTTACGTTCCAAGGCATTACATCATTGCTGATACGGACAAAATGAGTGAAGATAAAATCCGTTTCCTTGAAGCTTCCAGAAGAGAAAAGGATGGAGAACAAAAGGTATAGTAGGCAAAAAGAACTTCAGCCTATCACTACCTTTTCTGTTCTGCTGTACTGTTGTATAGTACCAAAAAAGATCATCATTTCACACATCAGACATTTAATCGGAAACAGGTGAGAATTCAGCACAGACAGGAAACAAAGACATTGCAGCAAGTCATGTCAAGTCTGGAAGTCTTAACACCACTAATTTGTTTTTAACTTTAAGCTGGGGGTTTTCACAACTTTCTGTGCTGTGCCACTGCACATGTTCGAACAGGACAGTAGTCTGTGTATCTTCATTTTTGCCTGAGGAATATTTCTAACAATACACATGTTAGCATAGTCTTTCAGTTGTATCTAGCAGGTGTTAATATTTGTGTGGGTTTCCTCTAGGTGCAGTGGTTTCCTCCTACAGTCCAAAGACACACTTGTGTGTGCGTGTCTGCTCTGCTATAGTGGCATTCTGTCCAGGGTGTACCCTACCTTGTGCCAGTTGTTTGCCAGGATTAGCTCCGGCTCCCCTGCGACCCTGAATTGGAAGAAGTTTAGAAAATGGTCGGATGGATGCATGTTAACATTGTTTCCTCCAGCAGATGGAGCACATTCATTCTTTTTCGTGCAGCAGATAGGACATTTGTCAAACATCCTACTGTTTTTGTATGGTCTTGGTGCAAGTACCATACTTGACTTACAATAACAATAATTTAGTCAAACATTGCTCTGAACATTCCAAGAGCTTATGCATGCATAATATGATGTGACAATTTATGTCATTTATCCATAAACCTGTGTTTAGTATTGTTGCTATTTTTACATATGCCTTTACACTGTGTATGCTTACAATGTTCGCTTATCAAACTATCTGACATTGTGTTACATTGCACTGCATGTACAGTTAAAGAAAATGGAAAGATGTTCTGTTTCTGTGTTCTTTATTCTAGTTTACCATCCATCGGATACCTAGAAGTCGTGAAGTGCAACAGTCCTGGAGCTCTTCTGTGCTCACTACTTTGCATTCCTTGGTCTACTCCATGCCTCTAGTGTTTAAATTGAGGCCAGATTTGGTATGGAAAAACTTACCCTTTTTCTTTCAGTCTTTAATAATGAATTTGTTCAATTTGCTCAGAAACCTGGATCAGTTTTGGAAACCAATATCAAGATGTAAACCTCAGTCAGTCTTTTATTTGCACACCCTTCCAGTTATATTTCCTCTACCTTACACAATCTTAGACTACTGTCACGGCCTTCCTAGGTATCAGAACCATTCATTTTCTCCCTCCCAGCCAAATTTACGGTGTCTGACAGGAGAGTTAGTGCTGACTGGAGGAGTGACTTCTATCACTCAAGTCTCTGCCACTCGTTTAGCACGTTGTAGGAGTCACTGTTGCCGATAAGCATCCACCCTACCCTGGAAGTGCTTGGTGAATTATGCACCTCTGCTTGGGGAGTTCTATTCATTCTTATCCTGTGACATGACCCAGGCTTCCTCTAGCGATGTCTGGGCCTTAGAGGTCACCATGCACTTAGAATGAATGTCTTTATGGGTTTAGTCACTCGGGAACCACATAAATATTTTTCTCTTTCAAAATCATGAGGTTAAAAGTTGAAATTAGTAACCATCTGCTTGATTTTGTAATGCTTGCCTTAGATTTTAACCTATTATACCCAGACCAAGTCCATACATGAGACAGGAAGTCACACAGCCACTCTTCACAAACAGAGCAACAAAGTGAGTGCCCTGCTTTGCTTCAGATTATTATATAATTGTTGAAAGTGTTATATAATAAGAAACTTTTTGAAACTTTGTTCACAGTTTTATTGGTGTCAATATCTTTAAAGGGCTAACTGGTGTGGTCAATTTAAGCTGTGGCTTAAATTGAGGAATTCTTCAAAGTGTCCTGAAGCCTCCCATTCATCAGATTTGAATATGTTCCTCAATCCAAAATGTATGAGCCTAAGACAATCAAATCTATTCATAAACAGAATCTTTTGAAATCTTGTTAATGTATCTTCTTCAGTCCTGTAGTTCAAGTAGCTGCGTCAGCATGCGTAGGCTGCAAAGGAACAAGTTAAAGATTTATTCCATGCTGAAAAGAGAAGAAAGGAAACAAAAAGTTTTGGTTATGGAGCCTTCTTCAATACTGTATCTTCTATAGACTATTTTCAATGAGTCGAAAAATGTTGTTAACACGGTATTTAAATGAGCATACATTTCATGCCAGGCCATGCTAGGGTTAGGGTTACAAGAACCATTCGATTTTGATGCCGTTTCTCTTTCTGGTTATACTTGTATGACAAAATTGAGAGCGTTTTACCCAGTGGAATGGATTTTCTTAATTTTAATATGATTTAATTTTGGAATACTAAGCAGCCAAGTCTATCCAGAAAAAAAGTGAAGATGGGAGAAAAGTATCACTCTTTAGGTCCCAAAATACAGCTGTGAGGTTAAAAAATGTCTGACTACTGTGGCATTGCTAACCTTAATCCTTGCTGGGGCTTAAATCGTGCAATTCTGGAATGTGTCTCTGTAATCTTCCATTCACCAGATTTGAAAATGTCCCTTAATCCAAAAATTGATCTTGAAATGATCAAATCTATTCATAAGCACTCTTGTGTATTCTTCAATCCTGTATCTTCTATAGACAAATTTTCAATTATGTTAACACTGGATTTATGTATGTTACATTTTATGTGTATGTATTTAAACTCTTAAGTATGCATTCAGTTTCTGACGTATACTATTTCCAGATTAACCTTTTTTCATTTTAAATGTTTCATTGTCTTCATCTTATATCTCACAAGAATCATATTTTTTAACATATTCAATAGTAATATGTATATTTTAGATTTTAGGTATGTCGATTAAAACTTTGAGATGAAAAATCAATATTCTGATTGTAGTCATCAAATTAGCATGGAAGATTGCTCATTACACTTTTAATAAAAATACTGTCTCTCAATTTATTTCATATGACCAGGAATAACTTTGTTTTACTGTAAGTTTCAAAATCGATTACATTTCCTTGTAGTAAACAGTGCAGTTATTATAGAATGGGATAATGTCTTAAACTAAAGTCAAATGTACTGGAAAATACTTTTTAAGGCAAGGACACTAGCCAGTGTTATTGTAATTGGTCCTTCATGGCTAAACAGGGACATAGTCAAACAGAAAGTTAAAAGTGCCTACTACTCATCTTGCTACTGTATGTTGCATGATTAATTTTTAAAAGCTACAAAATCAAGTGATATGCAGTTAATTCTGTAGGACTCTTATTCAATTGTTACCCTCTCTAGTGTAGACTGTAGATTTTCTACCTGTGTAAATACAAAAACAAAATCCAACAAGAGGCATGTGGAATTTGTATCATAGAATTAATTATGCACAGGCATGTAAATCGCTGCCTAAAAAAAGCTTTGGCAAATGACCATCTCTTCATACAAGGAGTATGCAGCTTTAATGATGCCAAAGAATTTTAGAACTCTATAAAATACCTTAAAAAGTCACACAGGAGACTCATTGTCTTCAAATTAAACATTGTGCAGTGTTTTGCTCACAGGCCCTATGAGAAAAAAGCTTTTATTAGACATTTTTGCTTGTTTCCACTGGCCTTTTTTAATTGTTTATACAGTACAAGTAATAGGTTTAAATACCTTGGAATGTAGAGAATGCTGAGTTTTGTAGAGTATTTTTGGATCAAAAGTATGAATAGCTTTGTTGTTCTTATCTTTATTAGATATATATAATCTCAAGAAATGAAACCAACTAAATTGCTAGGTTATGCTCCTAAAGTGTAACTTATTCTATGACTGTGGTCAAACTTATAAAATACTGCATCAGTACTGTGTCGATACTGGATCCTGTCCAGTTTTCTCCAAAAAATAGCTTGTATAAAGAATCTGTTTTAAAAATCACAAGATGTGAAATTTCCTCAGTTTTATGTCATGAATCAAAGAAAATATATTTTTTGGAGTATAATGCCTGATTTTTCCTTGCATTGCCACGCATATTAAAAGGATTGATTCAGGCTTCACAGTCTTAAAACAAAAATTGAGGAATTGTTTTTTCAAAAGTATTGATTGAGCTAATCCCAGTACTGCATCACGTTTTATCAGGATGCAAGATGTAAAGTCTTTTAAAAGTATTCCTACAGGAATTAGCACAGGAGCAGGATTTCTCTCTCAGGATTAATAGTACAGTATGTGCAGCAGAGAAAGGCCTTGTTCACAGGATATTGTAGGGCTTGACGGGATCGCTGGGAAGCTGTGAGGCACTGGTTTGAAGCTAGAGGGGAAATGGAATCGGATTTCTCTGTCCCTTAGGAGATACAACCAGGAGGTGGAACTTCGCTGAAAATGGTGCTTAACAACTATTCATAGAATCTAGAGCTGAGCAGCAATGTTAAACAAGGCAGGTAATGCATAGATATAAAATACTGTACCTGTGTGTAGTTTAAATCTATCTGCCTTGGGCTTTTTAATCCACATAAACTCCTCTTTTGCTTATTTAAATTGCAGTATAAATTAGGCCTACAAAATATTGCAAGTAATTAAGTTAATGTGGGTCCCTCTTTCTGGAGTGTTTTCAGAGTTTTTAACCCATTGAGCTCACCAAATTCTTTGTGTAATAATCTGAGTGAGATGTTTTGCCAAGTCTTTGCTGCATCCAGTTCATGCCTATTCTTGGAGGTTGTGGTTTCAATTTTTGCTTCAGCATGAAAATCTGCCCAATCAGATTCAAACACTTAGGTTGCAATTGCCTATTTAGTTAAAGTTTCAAGTTATTATCATCCTGTATGGTGAAGCACAGTCCAATATGTATGGAAGCATTTTCTTCTTACATATTTCTGATCTTACAAATTAGATTTAATGCGTTATATCATCACTACATCAAAGAGCAATGAGCTAGTTCCAGAGATTATCTTGCATGCTAAGGCCATGACATTATCTCAACCAGGCTTCATAGAGAAGGTGGTGTTCTCCAGTTCCTTTCTTACTCCACATTTGAACCTTTCTATTACTTTGCTAAGGGTTTATCATAGTTTCATCTGTGCATAAAGCTTTGTGCCAAAACTCACCCTTGTACTTCTGAGTACATTCTAATCTGGATTTTCTGTTCTTGCTGCTGATGAGACATTTCTATTTCATGGTGCAGTCTTTGCAATTCTGCTCTGTCAGGCTTCTGCAAATTGTGAATTTTAGTACCTTCACACCTACACTCTTAAGGCTTTTGACAGTTGTTTCAAGGTTTTCCTTGACAGCTCTGATACTGTTTCTTTTATCAGGAACAGATGTTTTTTTTAATTGGCTGCCCCAATCCCAGCTGATAGGTTATTGTACCTGTTGTGTGTTTTCTTTCTTATTCAAAATCGTCAGCCTTTCTTTAAGTGACATTCTTTGAGTTTAGTACTCAGCATACTTTTGAGTACTGACTCCAATCATTGAAGTAACTGCAAGACAAGTTGTGCCATATTACACAAGATCAAACACCTGACCAAGAAGAGATATCTGTCAACCAAGTGTTTCAATATTTTTGCTCAGTCAGAATAAAGAGGTTCAACAGTATCCATTTGTTTAATTTATCAGAGGAAATAACAAAATTGACTTTATAAAATAAAATGACTGTACTTATAAATCATGTTTTTTTCTTCAGAAATGATTATTGAGTTCATGTTTAGACCTCACTGTCTCAGTACTTTTGGAGGGCACTGTAGATTGTGTTTTGAATTTAGTTCCTGAATTTAGTTAGTGAATAGAATGATGTCTCATTATTTGGGTGAACATTATGATCTGACTCTTTTTCAGAATCTTTAGAGTTTTTTAGAGATTAAGAGCTTATCAAAACTAGAAAAACTTCAAATTTCAATAATTAAATTGCAACGTTTCTACACATTAGAACAGTGCACAGTAGTTATACAGTACTAATTTGAAAAGCTAAATTAAGCTTAATGCATGATGGACTGATTTCCCCATTCTAATCTTTTACATGTCCCTACTATTTTTCGGAAGAGTAAAGATTTATAGAATACAGTAGGTATGCAAGATCATAGTGATTTTTCACCCAAAT